CAGAGTCCAGAATTGCGTTAACATGGGTTTCTACTATTAATTTCTTGTTTTCGTACTTTTCTTGTAGCACTTGAAACAATGAGGCAAACGAATCATTTAACATTTCTAAACTCTTAGCTTCCCCTATGAGAGCAGCCTTCAAATAATGTAGTTTCTGTTCTGCTGATAATTGCTTGCTTGACGAAATGATATTTATCAAATTGCATTTTAAAGTTACTCCATTCTTCATATCTTCCAGAGAATTTCGATAGGGGAATCTCTGACAATTTAACATTAGTGGAGTTATTTTGAACTATGGGGTCTTGAGTCACCATGACCACGGACAAGTCTGCTTCTAATCGTTTAATACGAAACTGGATCTTAAATTTACAACTTATAATTTTGTCCTTACATTTTTCACTATTGACTATCTCAGTGTCATAATCAGTTGGGCTAGTAATGAAACCCTCAATTTCCTGATTTAAGTTTCTCAATGACTCTTCCTTTTGACTCATCTGATCCAGTATTTCTAGAAGAATTTCTGTCTCTCTATCATCGCTTTCAACTAAACTATTGACTTTATTAATTAATTTTGTCACACTGGCTCTTATCAAAGCATGTTTTTTCTTTAATTTCTCAAGTTGATCCATTTTAAACTGTCTACCATGTATAACTGACAGATAAATTCCTCCTACCTCTGTAGGCACCAGTATCTGGATGACACTTTTGCCTACATTGAATTTTAATGCATGCATCCATATTTTCATTTGATAAGGTACAGTACATGTCAAATAATTTTTATCATGTTCGCATTATAAATATAGAAATTATAGTAATTTATCAATGCCTTGTAACTTTCCAACCACCCTGTATATGATAGCTGTTTTTGGATCCCAATCTATACATTTGAAAGTCCTTTGAATCTTGTTTGTCAAGTTGCAGGAAGATTCACAAACCTGTTTTAGAGAAGTGCTATTATCTAGAAAAATTTGAAACCATCATCTATGTACTGAATCACTAACATCAATATACTTCTGCTATTCATGATGATGATGATTAAGGATTAAATTACCTAACAATAATTGTCCCAAAAGATTGAAGTGATTTATAATAAATGCTACAACAATCAATTCAAGACTGGTTAAGATAGGCTTGGAAATTATAATATGAAGATGGGATTAAGGTAACTTCATGCAATAGTGATCTTTTCTAGAACTATGTTACATTGGCATGTAGTACATAAATTGTCCACAGTTAATAAACCATAATTGAAACATCTTCACAATGTTGGGTTGCAATTTTCAATCATATTTTTAATTTAAAATATATGCTCACATCATCAAATTAATGTATTGCCCCTGTACATCATACTTTTCCTGTTAGCAATGGAGTTGTGCCGGTTATCTATAACTCTTTTCGGGGAATCTTTTGAATTGAAATAATGTGACTTCCAGTTTGCATTGGAAGTTCATATATATTTAATCGGGACCTCCTGCTCCTAAGTTTTTCATATCTGGTCTTGGCTTTCATCTATCTAACTCTATTCTTGAATCAAGGAAGGATAGATGGACAGACAGAGTGGGAATTTATAAGTCTACAGTTTTTTCAAATTGCATTCCAATGAAAATCTGTTAGCTGAAAGTGTGTTAACTGAGGAATCTGTATGTTTTAATGTTAATTTGGATAATAAATATAGGGTACATTCCAGTTTGTAACAAACATCATGTTGGTGATCCATGATGTACTAAAATGTGTTTTTTATTTTCACTAATGAGTTCATCGGTGCAGTGACTGATGCTTATTGCACTCATTGAGCTGTGGATTTGATGAGCTCTGATGAAGCAATATGACCACACTCATGATTAGAATATTAACCCAAATTTATTTTGACAGAATAAGTCTGCAAATGCAAATATGGTATTTGCTTCTGCCATCTTGTTCGGTTGCCATACATTCCAGTAAAAGTTTAATAAACTTTTACTGGAATGTATGGCAACCTAACCAGATAAAAAAAAAAGTGGAATGGTTTCTCCTCTTAGCTAGTTGATGCACGTGTGCAAAAATATACATACACTCAGTCAAAAAGTGACCCTCCAAGATTTTTACATGTTTGGGATTTGACCTTGAAACATCAAGAAATGCAAAAAAGTTAGGGGGTTTTATCTGTACATGTGGATGTTAGTGTGTGAGGGAGAATGATTTTGTTCACCAACTTTAAAGCTTAACTCCTGTGCCTTTTGTTAAAAATTTCTGAAATTTTGCAGGGAGGTTTGGGTACTAGGTGGATTAATACTGTTAAATTTTGATGGTTAAAAGTTTAGGGGGTGGGGAGATAGATGAGGCATGTCTTATCTCAAGTGGGATCGGATTTAATGAATATTTTACACATTATTATCATTTAAAAGTTTTTATAAAACTCATCTTTACCCTTAAAATTAAACTTTTTGCCATTTTATTTTTATAATAATCAATAATATAAAAAGTTTAAATAAAATCTTGTAACAGATGGGGCCACATACAGTTTTAAATGTTTTTGCAAGGAAAGTTATGCAACTCATTTCTGGAATTTCTTTTAGTTAGTATTAATAAATTTGTGTGTATTATTTTATTAAAATACTTTTTGTTTTTCCATTATCATGATTATTTTATGATATATCTGGAGGCTTAACAATATTGATAATCTATATGAAGTGTTAATTATGTAATAATACATAAATGAATTTTTGTTTTATTTCTTAGCAGTCATTTTATAGAAAGTTAATTATAAGAAAATATTTTTAAAATCAACAAAATATGATGTTAAATCATAACTTCCAGGATGACCTCATTACTGCTAGAAAGTAATGGCATGATTTCAGTACAATTTAAAAAGAACCTGGATGGTATCCCACCTTATCCTGCCCCACCTCAAGTTCTGACTGCATGCAAATTTTCTTTAAAACTAGCACTGATGATCTGAATAATGGCTTAAAGTCTGAAATGAGTGCAAAGTATTCACAAATCTGGAGACTAGACTAGATCATAAATAGAAATCATTAATTTTGTATAAAATGGCCAACAAATAAATAAAATTAAGAAAAAGATGAAAATTTGGCAATAAATTTTAACAATTTGTAGTTGGAAATCTTTCATTTGCAAGAGTAGGCTGTATAAAGATACATTCTTACCATTTAGGAGAATAGCAGAGATGATATTAATATGAAAAGTGTTAAAGTTTTGTGCAGGATCAATTTCTGGCATAGATATTAAAAGATTAGATTAGAGAGAATTAGAGATTTAAAGACTACAGAGAGTATAGAGATTAAAATATCAACAATAAAATTAATTATTACTTTTGAATACTTTTGCTACAATTCAAATAGTTTTTCCTTATTAAAGTTTACAAAAGAGTACAGATGTGATATTTTAAAGTTTGTCAACCCAAAATATGGGATCAAGTCTCTGTTCTAAAATTCAATATTCTTTCTAGTTTCTAAATAATTTCTTCGAATTCTAGCAAAAATAATTTTATGTTTTTATTGCTCAGAAAAAGGGTCTTCCAAAAGGAATACTATCATTTTAAATTATTGTAATTATGTTAATTATTATTCAGGAAGTATGCAATGTACTGTACATCAATTGACAGAATAACCATTTAGGTTTCATTTTCTTCTAGGATGCATCATAAATGAAAATGGCAAGTTCCCATAGAGAAGACATTTTGTGTTGCATTTCGTTAAGTCGGAATCATTCATCATTGTATAACATGAGTAATCTTCAGGAGCCATATAATTGTGGCTGCCACCAGTGACAACAGATATGCCATAGCAAGTGTAAGAAGAATTTGAGCACAGGTCGGATGTATACCATGCGACATGAGGTGCACGTGTTGAGAAATTGTACTGGATGAAAATGAAACTTGCATAGTTTTCCAATGTTTTAATGTAAATTATGATGTTCTGAGATAATAGTTAACATAATTACAATAATTTAAAATGGTAGTATTCTTTTTGCAAGACCCTGTGTATAGTGTAGAACCTAGCATGAAAAATACAGAAAATGAAATTAAATATTTCATCCTTAAACTTCTTGCAAATAATCTATTGCAGTAGTTGAATACTTTGGTGATAGGTTGACTCAGCTTGATCTGGATTCAAGCTTAGATTTGTCAGATTCAGGTTTGTCTGGGCCAGAGCCTCAAAGTTTTTGTGGCTGTCTCCTTGGTCATAGGTCTGGCCAAATTTGTTACACACAAAAATAAAAATTTTTTTTATTTCTTAGATGGCAATTTATTATGTTTTTTTGTGATATATTATAAAATAAATCACCAGAATACAGAAAATTATAACTGATTTTGTAATATTTTTCTTTATTTAAAATATTTAGTATATGATCTCTTCCCATTAATGTGATTTTTTTCTTTAAATTTACCCTTATACACTTAATGTCTAGTTTACCATTCACTCTTAGATTCTCAAGATATTCTCAATTTATGTATTTCTGCTTAACTTTAAATACAATGGAACCCATTTAAGAAGTACCTGCTTAAGAGGTTTTTCGGCATAATAAGTTCAATTTCTCCTGTCCTGGCATTTACATCATGTGTCAAAATTTTCCACGTAACAAGTTACCCCTTAACAAGTTTTTCCATTTAAGAAATTCCAAGATACCAGTCCAGTCGACAATATTTTACCACTTAAGAAGTTTATATTGGAGACAAATTGTAATCTTTTTTCTCACCATAACTTTATTACTTATAAAAATAGTAAAGTTTTAGTAAAGTAACTCCAGATGTTCACCATATTGTATATCAACACTTGCACATCTGAGGTAGTTGCTAAATTAACTGGGGTCTTATTGTTTCGATCATACTCCCTATCCAATGTTGTCCATTAACTGTTGACATGTCATATTGACACCAGTCACTTCATCATCTGTTGTAATCAGTGCATCTTGCTATTCTACTATCTTAAGCTATGCTATGTTATATTACCTTGATATTAAAAGTTAGAAAATAATAACATTTTTCTTTTCTTTTCTAGACCTTATTAAATCAACAGAAAGAGTATGCCGTATCCTTAACTCCGATCTACACTTTAATTATCTTAAGTGGCATCCTGGCATTCCGAGCAGCAGGTGGATCACTGAACAGTTTTCGGGCTTTCTTTGATTACAAAATAACCAATTGAGGATTGCCGAAAATAGATGAATTTTAAATTGAAGTTTGGACTATGAAAAACAAACAAAAAACTTTTTTTGTGCATTAGACTGAAAATTTACAGTTCGGGGAGGAACATCACCGGTGTCCAGAAGTGTTGAAGAAAAGCAGAATTTCAAAAGTCAGAATTTTGAAGTAAAACCGTAATCCATCCTTAATGATTTTGAATAATGTAATAAAATCATATTTTATTAATTTAGAGTACATAAAGTAGATATTCGGCATGACTGAAAACAACCAACACATAGCATAATGCCGCAGGAGAGGAACAATCCTAAACAACATTTTAAAACTTTAAAACAGAGAATTACATAAAATCTAATTGCTGTATAACGAAATAAAGACATAGATGCCGCAACCGAGCATGAAATTAAGCCAAAATTTTGGTAAAATAAAGTAATATAATTACGCCAACAGAGTCCATCCTTTAAAGAAGAACAATATCATACCAGTTTAATTTCACTTAAGATTTAGTGTACATTTATTGTGTTTTTGTAATATTTTTCTGTTATTTATGTTTTTTTTTCCATTTTTTTAATTAATTCATTAGTAAAATTTACTGTAATTATTTTTTGTCTGAAGATTGTATATACATATATATGAAGTATTGATATGTCAATAAACAATTTTCCAGTTTATATATTTAGTTCATTTCTGAAAAAATATACTTTTTTCTATATTTTTTCATATATATTTAAAATATATATATATATTTTTTTTATATAAACAGTAGTGATAAGTGGGGTGAGAAGTGATGACATGTCCTTTGTCAGTCTATGGTCAAAGTCGCATCCTGTTCCTTTTCCGTTTTACAAAGTGAATTTCCCGGTTGGATAAATATAAAGTACAAATTATTGTTGGAAAATTTAATTTTTCGCCATTAATTTTATACAAAGATTTCCATTTTTCTATATTTTATAAGATTTAAAAAATTTTTTTTCTACGAATGATAACGCGATCGCTATTATGAAATACATACTTAAATAATTATTATATTTCTTAATAATAATTTTTAAAAAATTTTTGACGAATTTAAAATTTTATTATTTTAAATTAATATTAATTAAATTTTAGTAGCGATCGGAATAATTTTAAAATCGATATTATCGTTTCTAATACTGTATATTAAAAAATTAGAAGCCATATTTATTAAAGTGGTAAATCGGGTAAAATTTAAATTTTTTTAATTATTAATGTTTAAATTTTTATAAAATAAATTCATTTCATTATTTTTTTAAAATAAAATAAAATTATAATTAATTTGCAGAGGGTGCTCTAACAAATTTAAAATTTAACCAAACGATAAATTATTTGAACTCACATTTTACGACGACGATTCTGATTGGTTATCACGATATATCATAATCATCGCCAACGAATCATAAGCTCTATCGCTTCGGACGCCGATGGAAACTAAACCTCGATTTGAGATACGAAAAACCGGCCATTTGCAGACGAACTTTTATTTTAGTCGAAGAGAAGTCGTCGTTAGCACGATGACGGTGAATAAATCTATAAATTTCGTTTCGTCTTTACATTCGTTCGTTGCTCTAAACGATTTTCCATCGACATTTAATTAAATATTTTATTAAAAGAAACATTAAATCGTAATTATGGCTGCGAATTTCGATCCTTACGATAAAAGCAGGTAATTTAAGATTGATTTTCCTTACAAAAAATGAATAAATTATAAAAAAAACAGTAAATAGATTGTTGTTGTGAAGTGAGATATTTGTTAAATTATTGATTTTTTTGTCTGTTGAATCATTGATGTAAATTATATGAATGGAAAATGTGTAATGTATATTTGTTAAAATTACGTGAATGCTATATTCCCCTGAGTAATGCCAGATGGAAGATAATGCTTTATCAATTAAATTGCCTTATCAGTGTTAAGATTATCAATTTATATATAAATGATTATAATGAGTGTACACATGCATGCAGGCACGTATGTATACTGTATACACACGTTAGTGATTTGCTTTTTGTCCTTATATTACTATAATTGAATATGTTTTGGCTCTATGGAATGCTTATTGCACACTTGATGTGGCTGGAGATATTGCACGGAAACGAGTGAATGCTGGTTATTTGTTGTAACGGTTACGATAAATAACTGGTGTTCGTCTATTTCTGTGTGATTTCTCTGGCTGAGTGAGAAGTCCTTCATAGAGACAAAATGTAGCACTTGCATATTCAATTACTGTATATATATGTTATATAAAACTATTTGCTCACATACTATGATAAATACAGTATAAGGAAGAAGCTGTACTGTCTGTTGGCATTAGAATTTATTTAATTGATGAATTAAATTCTAAATGCTGACAGATAGTATGGTTTCTTCCTTACATATTATACATTCACGACATACACACACACACACATATATATATATAGTATGTAAATTAATAGAACATAATGCATATGCAGTGTAATTTGTAATATATTACAAAAACAAGAAACATATGGAAGTCTGATTTCATTAGTTTACAAACAAAAATCTGTCTTTTCAACAGCACTAGTAAAACTATATTTCTCAATGAATACAAATCTAGAACTTGGTCATCAAAAAATCTTAACCTTATCAACAATTTTCAAACAATTTGCTTAAGGATCATCCTTGGCTACACCTGGCAAGATTGTAAATATATCAGTAATTTTAGATGAAAGCTAATAATTTCCTCTAGTAAGCAAAGTGCATGTTTTCCAGTTGCATGGCTATGTCACCACCTCTGTCATCCACTGATTCCCTACTTTGATAGGTTAGCTTTCTTATGTCCATCCAATGGACATGGGAAGAGAGAAAGATTGAGCTTCCAATTTTGTCAGTACATCAGCTGTCACAACATCAATAGTACAGTACATCACAATCAATGATTTAGCCTAAAACCAAGATGTGTGGAGGAACTGTTATCTTCATACATCTTGGCCAATATGATTGTTACCAGAGATTTGTAATGTGTGTATAGTTTCCTTACTTTACATTCATAGTGTGAAATAAGTAATGATGATATATTACATTGTATACAATAGCATAGTGTGAGGTAAAATGCCAACTTTTCCAGATTCATTAGGAGACTTGGAATATGGCAAAAATTTTTAAATTCTTTAATTTCCAAATTGAGACTTATTCTAAACAAGACAATCAACTTTTGGAGTATTTATTAAAACAGTTTAGCCTGTTTTAATAAATACTCCAAAAGTTGATTGTCTTGTTTAGAATAAGTCTCAATTTGGAAATTAAAGAATTTAAAAATTTTTGCCAAAGAATAGGCAATAGCATTTTTATATTGCAGAGAGTAAAAAAACTAAATTGCCTGAAATTTTTATTCCTGGAATTGAAAACTAATCAACACTGGAAATTGGCAAGCTTGGTGTGAGAGTATAATACATATAAATACGTTCTTTACAATGCCAAATGTAGAATAAGAACAAAGCAAGCTAAACATACATACTGGCAAACTAATTATTAAACTAACTAACTAATAAAGCAAACTAACTATTAACATTAAAGTTGTTTATTTTCAAGTTATTTAATTAAAAATGCATACTTTTGACATTTCAAAATGTCATCTTTAGGTTGAGCGTATACAATTCAAATAGTGTACACTTTACCTGAAGATGACATTTTGAAATGTTGAAAGTACTCGTTTTTAATTAAATAAATTTAAAATAAACAACTTTAATGCCAATAGTTAATTTGCTTTGTTCTTATAATAAGAAATGAACCTCTTCGTAAACACCAGAGGAAATACTGGTGTTTACGGTGGTCTTAAATTTGTTTTTCTAAATTTTGAATTGCATTCGGTTTGTTTTAATGTTCCATTCCACATGCATTCGAATTCCTCATAAATGTAGCCTGATGAAGACCCGGATGGGGTCGAAAATGTTCGCTGGTGTGTAAACAAGTATCACTGGAGTTACAAAGGTTTTTTGTATGTGGTAAATTGTTCTTATAATAATTGCATGTAATTCTGGAAAAAAAATAACTTAAGACTTGATATATATATATATCATTAAGGAGCTTTTTATTTTTCAATTTTTATATATAAATAAGTTTTTTCACTGTAATCACAGTGTCAAATTTTATTGCTATACCTCTGCATGTGCATTGCTTATTACATAGTAGAAGAACAAAGTCTAATAACAAATTGTTCAGTGTGTTGTCAGTTCATATTCTGTAGTCAACTTTTGTCATCACAGTTATTAGATCTTTGTAAAATTCTAACTTTTTGTTTTCTGTATCATTAGAAATTTTTTTAAAATAAATTTCTAAATGCTAAGTTTTTACATTAGTCATAGAAGTTTTTAATTTTAAAGTTTTCTAGAAGTTTTGAAATTAAATAATCAAAATAATTATTAATTAACATGAAAGAAAACTCAATGGCCAAAATAATAATCCCTTGTACAATACTGTTTCACTCTAACATGGTTTGAAAATTGCGATATCTCTAATGCAACAAGACTTTCAGTTTCACTCTAAGGCCAAGACTCCACTAGTGTAAAAACAGGTGTAAAAACCTTCACTGTAAAAATGTTTAATTACGTGACGCATTTACATCTGGACTGTAGTAAAGGTCCAGCTAGCAAAGTTTTTACGGTGGCGGTGCTATCGAAGTTATAAAGACAATGATTATATTCTATGGGTTTTTTCTGTACTATAATTACAAATGTAAAAATAATATCTTTACTTTCATATATTAACTTTTATTATTGTACAGTATTATTAATTAAGATAATATACAGCACTTATAAGCTTAGATTTTTTTATTATATACTCCTCTAAATTGAAGGATTTTCCTTTGACTGTCCATATTGCGTGTTTTAGGCATCCATTATTATAATCAGGATACTCCTTGTTGTAGATACACGAATACTTTCAGATGTTTTTCATAAATCTTTCCAGATCTATTCTAGAGTAGCCACGAGGGAACGTACACAAAAGCTCGTTTTCCCCCATTTTTGCACCATGTTACAATGACCTAGATTTCACTGACTTCTGATTGGTGGATGGTACTGTTTTACAGCCATATTTGCGTCAAAAGTTGAACACTGCTCAACACGCTTTTATGCTGGTTTTACAACCTGCTCAGGCATAAAATATCATGGCCATGTGATTTAAAAGCTTTTACAGCGAGGAGTTTTATGCCCGTTTTTATACTAGTGGAGTCTTGGCCTAACATGATTTTGGAAATTTTGCAATTTTTAAGTATTAATGCTATTAGTCAATATTTTTTTTTTTATTCAAGTAAGCATGCATGTTGTCTCAAATTTGCCTATGGATTTTAGAATATTGAAATTTTCAAATTTTGTACTTTCTTCAGGTTTACTTTAATGAAAACCAATAGTGCAATTTTTTCTTCCTGGTCCTAACTTTCTTATCAATCAGGTGTCATTGTCATTGCTTTCAGACTTCGGCCCCTAAAACTGTCACTCTGTTTTCTTTTTATAGATTAATCTTTGTATTTATTAAAGTTTTTAAAACATTTTTAGGTAAATGTTATTAAACTTTTCTTTGACCATAGGTAAGCAATTATTTGTAAAATGATGAATGAAATACGGTAGTATCTGTGCTTGAACAATTTGGTATTTGAACACAAATTCTGGAAAAAGTCACTTAATACTCAATTGCACAAATGCAACCTGATAGAATAAATTTTCAATTAATAACATATTTTTATTTTGTCATCCATAAAAATTTTTTATGATAAAAATAAAAAATATGAAAATGTTGCTGATATTTCTGATCAAGATAAACAAAAAAGTCGAGATAATGACAATAGTTTGTAAAAAGAAAACACCCTAGTTTAACTAAAATTAATATTTATGCTTAATACAGTACTTTTAATTGTGATTGTTAATTAATTATTGATTGCTTTAATAAACATATTTCTGTTAGTTATGAAAAAGAATAGTTTACTTTTGCTAACTTCTATAATGCAACCCTATATATACATATATATATATACAGTAGAGCGTTGATTATCTGAATCAATTGGGGACTGGGGTTGTTCAGAAAATTGATATTTCGGATAACTGATTATGTACAAAAAAATATATTAACCTATCCCATATTGAAATTTTTCTCCATTGCGTGTCATTTTGCGTTGAATTTTTGTCGATGTTAAGCCTAACGAAGACTATTGTATCATTAAAAATTATTTTTTTATTTTGTACAAACAAAATAAATATATTGAAAAATATAAAAACAATAAAAAATTATACTTCAGAAGTTAATTTAGTATCAAAAACGTAAAATATTTGAGTAGCCGAAGACATAGCCAAAGATTGCAGCGCCACAGCACTGGCAAAAATTTAAATTTGTCGACTGGAATTNCTTTGGAAGAAAACCGGCATAACTCAAAAAAGTGATATTTTTCGATTGTCGTAATCAAAATGAAAATGTAGTAAATTTTTATATGGAAGAGTGTCACAACAGTAACTTGCATATTAGGCCACTAGGGAGCAGTTATGTGGAAGATAAGTGATATTCAGTTAAATCTTTGCATGGGATTTTCTCAAAACTAGTAATTTTGAGTTGTGTCAGTTTTCTTCCAAAGTAGCAATATGGAGACTCTAGCCTGTTGGCTTTTTCTCCAAAGCACACCACCTAGCTATTATGTGAAGTGGTTTGATGATACACAAATTGTTCCAAGAAAATGGCCCTTGTTAAAATAAAAAGCAACTAAATAACTAACCAATATTTTTAAAAATAATTAAAAATATAAATGAAGCAAAGTATGAAAATTTAGTAAATAATAGTATTATAAATATGCAAAAATAAAATTTATTACTTTATAGTGTGATAATTATGTTAAAATTGTGGCGACCAATTCCGAACTTCATCCGATCGCCACCAGAGGGAGTTCGGAGGTTTTAAAAGATCGATTCGAACACGTGCCTTCGTCCTTTTGTCGACTCCTCGTCTAGAGTACGGACTCCTATTCAATTGTGCTACCTGAACTCTTTTGTTGGCAGCTAATCGCCACATTGGTGACCCGAACGTGATCCAACCTCAATCCAATTTCATCTGGACATTCACGCCATTAATTTCAACGGTTTTTGTTCCATCCGCAAAATCGGATTCACCGCATATTTTATTTTGTGATATTTTTTGGAGCAACCACATGGCCACAGAACAAAGGTCGAGTAACTTCCCGCACTTACGCTAGGTAAGCGTATCATTTTTTTTTCTCGCTCATCGGAACTCTCTACTCGTACGCCCGGCTATCGAACAATTCGTGCGTTTCACATTTAACCGATTTTTTTTTGGGCTCTCATCCTTTGTTCTGAAAATCAGCATGCCGCTCAGCGACCAGCCAGAAACAATGGCCGTCAACGTAACTCGAGTCGCTGTTAAGCCTCCGCCGTTTTGGAAGCCGAATCCGACGTTATGGTTCGCGCAACTCGAGGCACAATTTGCCATCTCCGGGATATCCGCAGACTCCACAAAATTCAACCACGTGATTTCAGCAATCGAGTCCGAGGTGCTCAACTCAGTTAGTGACTTAATTCTACACCCACCGGCCAGCGAAAAATACGAGGCCCTCAAAAAACGTCTCATTGAGCTACACTCGGAAAGTCAAGAATCAAAGATTCGCACACTCCTGCAAGGCTTGGAGTTAGGAGACCAGCGCCCGTCACAACTGTTAAATCGTATGCGTGCTCTTGCCGGCGAGGCGGTTGGGGAACCTCTATTAAAGTCCCTGTGGCTATCAAGATTACCAGCGAACACTCAAAGTATTCTTGCCGCGCTAAGCGAGGACCTACCCCAACTAGCTACTATAGCCGACAAAATCTCGGACCTAACCATCACGCAAAGTGTAAATTCCACTTCGAGTCAACAGTTAACGCACCCTTCCTCGTTAAAATTTCAAATTGAGCAGCTTACCAATCAAGTAGCAGAATTAGCAGCCATAGTGCATCGTGAGCGACCACGTGAGATGAATAGTCGTCCAACGTTCCACCCCCGAAAACGTAGCCAGTCCCGAGACCGTTACCGCCGGTACAAAGAACCGATGAACAATCAATGCTTTTACCACACCAACTTCGGAGAGAGAGCCAGGAAATGCACACCTCCCTGCTCTTTTCAGCCGTCGGGAAACTAGCAGAGCGGCCGTCTGGGGCCAACAGTTGCGACCGCTCGATTGACCGAATATTTATGGCCGACCCATCTACAAACTTGAGTTTTTTGGTTGACACTGGCGCAGATGTTTCAGTGATTCCTAAATCTCTCTCACTGCAAGCAAAAACCCCTGGGAAGTTAGTTCTCTTTGCTGCCAATGGCACGAAAATCCCAACTTACGGCACCAAGCTGCTAACGCTGGATTTTAACCTGCGAAGAAGCTTTCCATGGCCTTTCATCATCGCCGACGTCACTCAACCGATTATAGGCATAGACTTCCTAACTCACTTCGACCTATTGGTGGACGCACGAAAAAACCGCCTCATAGATGCAGCCACGCAGCTGAAGTCTAGAGGCACTGAACGTCCCAAACCAACGGCAAATCTCACCATCACCACCATACACGGAGATTCTGACTTCCAGCGAGTGCTGGCCGAATTTCCCTCGATCACGAATCCCTCGTTAATAGCAACGAGAAGCGACAAGGCTTCCGTTTTTCACCATATTGAGACTACAGGCCCACCAGTGTTTTGCAGACCGAGACGCCTTCCCCCGGACAAGCTCAAAGCAGCTAAGGCAGAGTTCAGTTACATGCTACAGCAAGGCATCTGCCGCCCATCTAAGAGTCCGTGGGCAAGCCCACTTCACTTGGTCGCCAAGCGTAATGGCGACTGGCGTCCCTGCGGAGACTATCGCCGCCTAAATGCCGTTACGGTGCCTGACAGGTATCCAGTCCCACACATCCAGGACTGCACACAAGTGGTAGAGGGATCTACAATCTTCTCTACACTTGACCTCGCCAGAGCCTACCATCAGGTGCCTGTCCATCCAGACGACATTCCGAAAACAGCAGTCACAACACCTTTTGGGCTGTTTGAATTTCCGGTGATGACGTTCGGTCTCCGTAATGCAGCCCAGACCTTCCAGAGATTCATCAATCAAGTTCTCCATGGTCTGGATTACTGCGTACCTTACTTTGACGACGTGCTAGTGGCATCCAAGAGCAAAGAAGAGCACACACGACACCTCCGAGAAGTTTTCCAACGTTTTCTCGAATACGGCGTAACCTTAAATCCTTCTAAGTGCTCACTAGGACAGCAGACTGTGTCTTTCCTCGGCCATAAGATTTCAGCGGAGGGCGTGAGTCCTCTTCCGGAAAGGGTTTCAGCCATCCGAAAATTTCCTGAACCCTCTACCATCCGAGAGCTGCGCCGGTTTCTGGCAATGTTAAACTTCTACAGACGTTTTCTGCCCAAAGCCGCGCACACGCAAGCACCGCTCAACTCCTTTCTGTCCGGAAGCAAGAAAAACGACGATACAAAAATCGTATGGACTCCGGAAGCGCGACGTGCATTTTCGCAATGCAAAGAAGCGCTCGCAAATGCCGCTGTGTTGAATTTCCCATCAGCCGCGAGGCCACTTGCACTGATGGTCGACGCCTCGGACACGGCTATAGGCGCCGTCCTACAACAGAAGTTCCAGGGGTCATGGAAACCGCTCGCTTTCTTCTCCAATAAGCTGTCGGCCGCACAGCGCAACTACAGTACTTACGATCGTGAGTTACTGAGCGCCTACGCGGCCGTAAAACACTTCCGACACATGTTAGAAGGTCGTGACTTCATCCTGTTTACTGATCACAAGCCGCTAACCTTCGCATTTCGGCAACGCCCCGACAAAGCCTCTCCAAGACAGCTTCGACACCTCGATTTTTTATCGCAGTTCACTACGGACATACGTCACATAGAGGGTTCTCACAACATAGTTGCAGACTCTCTATCCCGTATAGCTGCCATAAACACGCCGTCACAGATCGACTACAAAGAACTCGCCATTCAACAACGACACGACAGCGAGCTTAAGGAGCTGCTAGACAAGCCAAACGCTACAGGGCTGTCTTTCAGCCGGCTTACGGTCGACGACTCTACCTGCCAGCTCTATTGTGACGTCTCATCGGGGACAGTACGCCCTTATATACCATCACCATTACGCAGAGAAATCTTTAACATGCTGCATAACCTTTCACACCCCGGCATCAGAGCTACGATTAAGCTCTTGCAGCAGAGATTTATCTGGCCTTCCATGAAAGCCGACGCCACCGCTTGGACTCGCTCCTGCCTACAGTGCCAGCGGTGCAAAGTTACTCGTCACACTTCCGCCCCGCTCGCTAATCTGTCCATGCCAGACGAACGATTCTCGCACGTCCACATCGACATCATTGGACCCCTACCTCCATCTCATGGATCCGTTTACTGTCTGACCTGTGTGGATCGCTTTACACGTTGGCCAGAAGCATTCCCAATACCAGACATCTCAGCGGAAACAATAGCGAGAACATTCTACTCCGGATGGGTCGCCCGATTTGGCGTACCGAAACAGATCACCACAGACCAAGGTAGGCAGTTTGAATCAGCCCTCTTTCAAGCGCTAGCCAGCTTACTCGGTTCGAAGCGTATTCGCACCTCTCCCTACCACCCAGCCTCCAACGGTCTGGTCGAGCGTCTACACCGTCCACTCAAGGCAGCTCTTAAGTGCCACGCTACCGAGAGGTGGACCGAAGTGCTCCCGACCATCCTTTTGGGTTTGCGCTCTACCATCAAGGAAGGAATCAATGCCACATCAGCAGAGATGGTCTATGGAACCCATCTACGACTCCCCGGAGAGTTCTTTGTTTCAGAACCCAGCTCAGTGATAGACCCAACTTCCTTTGTCGGTCAGCTCCGCGAAACCATGAGGAAGCTGCGGCCAGTAGCGACGTCTGCACACTCAAAACGTGCAGTTTTCATACACAAGGAACTGTCCACCTGCAGTCATGTATTCATTCGTCGTGATGCAATTCGCAAGCCACTTCAACCAATCTACGATGGACCATACGAAGTGATATCGCGGCAGGGAACGGTATACAAGGTCCGAATCGACGGACGAACATCAGCTATAAACGTCGATCGGTTAAAGCCTGCATTCTCGTCACCGCCCGAAGCCGGATCAAATCCCGACGTCCCACCACCAACCACAACGTCGCACACTCCGGTTCAGCCAGTTCCAACAGACACGTCGCTTCCCACCCCGGCCACCTCATCGACGACCACCCGCTCAGGACGTCGAGTCCGTTTCAATCCTCGCTTCCTCTAGCTCCTCGTGCCTTCGGCACTTGGGGGGGAGTACTGTGGCGACCAATTCCGAACTTCATCCGATCGCCACCAGAGGGAGTTCGGAGGTTTTAAAAGACCGATTCGAACACGTGCCTTCGTCCTTTTGTCGACTCCTCGTCTAGAGTACGGACTCCTATTCAATTGTGCTACCTGAACTCTTTTGTTGGCAGCTAATCGCCACAAAATAAAGCTTTCATTAATTATTGTGAAAGATTGCAAATGTAAGCTTCAGGCCTGTTTAAATATCTTGAGATAATGTTAAATTCATAGGGACATAGATTATAGAATATTTTGTCAGTTGCTAAATAAAATACTCAAATAGTCTATAGGAATCTATTGTATTTTTTATTAAATGTTTTGTGTTCTAAATGTTTGATGATCTGTTCATCATCATCATCATCATCATCCGACTGAAGTCAAGGAATGCCAAAAATGTTTAGTAAAAAATATTAGACGGCTATAAGAAGGCTGGCTATTTTATTTATTAATAAGGAGCTGTTACTAAAACTTAATAATTATGTTTTATTTAGGAACCAAGTTATGTTAAAATGTTAAAAATTTGTGAATCAAGTAAAATGAAATAAATTGTTTATATGGAGAAATTCCAAATTATATTTTTTTAATGAATAATTTGTGTTAAAAGTTCTGTATAAATTTGTTAATGAATGTTGATTATAGAATACCAAAATAAATTAAGAATTAGAATTATTTAATGATAATTTTAAAAATAAAATGTATTTTTGTACGTTTTGTTAATAATGCTATTATTTTAATTAATTTGTTGATAATTAATGAAATAACTTTTTGTTTAGTTATAAAGAAAGAAATCTATAAAATGATTTAAGTTTAAAACTGTCTTAAATTTTCTTTATTATTAATAAATAAATTATCCAGTTGAAAATGCTAAAGAAAATGTATTTAGATATAAAATAATTCTGAGTTAAATTTTTTTTGAGCAATTAATCAAATTTGTTGGATTTAAAAATAAATAGAAGTAACATCATCATTCATGTAGAAAGAATGAATGCAAAGTTATAAATTTTCAACTATAGAGAATTCAACTGTTCTTGGCAACAGTTAGTAAAAAAAAATAAACCATAGGGTGGGAATCCTTATTCACTTATCAATTCACCTCTATGGCAATTACAGTATCTGTAAACAGTTTACCTATATGGAGAATACAGCTTACAGTTAATTACACCGTATACAGAGTATTTTTGTAGCTTAAAATCATTGCTTCTAAATTGAGATGAATATATGTTCATTACTTCTGTTGGCTTTTCCCCATTTTTAATTTAATTTACCACAAATTTTGATAATTTTTTATTTGAAGAAAATTGAAACAAGTCAAGTTTCCTTTGTCATACAGTCATGCATATAGAAGTATATTACCATATTTAAAATATGATTGAGCAAAGTATTGCTAGTGTACAGTCTAAGTTATTTTCTTTGGCAGAAATGGTTTTCTGTTAGTTATTTCTATCTTCACTATTTTGTTAGTTTTCCTTATCTGATGCTAGTGTTGCTATGTTTTCAGTGGCAGCTGTAATTACCTCTATAGTTTAAATAATTTTTATTTGAATAATAATGTTTATATATATAGATTCATTGTTAGTTTATCTAATGAAAGTTACATGACTGTTTTGTTATATGATACTTTATTTGATTTGATTTCATTATTTTATTTTCACTCAAATATTTTGGTATTTGAATTAATGCATATTTAAAATGGTTTTATAAGACGTATTAATTTTATAAATTTTTTAACTTGTATTTAAATTTTTTATAGATTAATAATTACATAAATTTTTTAATATATAAAATATAATTAAAAATGGATGATGTAACAAATTTATTATTTTTTA